TCCAATTTTATTTAATTGTCAATTTCTGTCGCACTTCTACTAACGATTTTCTGGGCAAGTTCGTGTTTTGCGCTTAATTTATGACACTTCTTCGTCGGGTTCGCGAGTGGGGAGTGGAGTGGATGGCATTTTGATATTGATCTGGATATCACTTGAAATATTGGCAATATCGACATCACATTTATAAGTGGCCTGCACTTTACACGAAATTATTAAATACGATGGGTGCTAATCGAAAGAAAATGAAAATAGGTTTCTACTGAAGCTCTTCCGAAGTGAATATGGTATATAGTCTCGGTATTTGAAGAACTTGGTTGGATATTTACATTTTTTATGATTTGCGCAGACGATAAGTTTTAGGACAAAACCAAAACTTTTTCCTTTTTGAGAAGAGTAAAATATATGAAGTTCAATGAAAATGAAGCTTTGATCAAGATTTCGGTCACAGCACTCCTCAGAATTGTTGCATTGAAAATAGGCTCATAAATCGATTTATATTATATAATATGCTGATATACATACGCTTATAAGAAATACTCTGATTCAACGAATAGTAGACCAATGGACAGCCTAATTGTTAATTGGTATTAAAACTGCATTCTAGCTCGTAAATGAGCAGTGAAAATTAAATTAATATAAATTAAAAGAAACTGAATGGTAATCGGACTTAGCATATCTAATATTAAGTATAACAATAAATTTAAATTCTAATCAGCAAGGACTGATGTCTATATATAATTTTAATATAATTTTAATTTATTTATTTTAGAAAACGGATTATTCATTAAGAACTAGCACTTTATAGCTATGATATATTCAAATGGTTATTATATGACAACGTATTCCGAATTAATCAGACAAACTTCAGAGAAAACTCAGCAAAGGACTAAAAACAATTTATGTTCATCTTTCAAAAACTGTTTGACGAAGATATATCTGCAAACTCTATCACTTAATTTTCTTTGCTGCTTAAAGCATACCCAAATTAAAAATCGAGACTCAAACAAAATTATTGGGTATTTGGGTATTATTGGGTACCAAGTTAAACACCTATATTTTATGTACATTAAAAATTGAATGCATAGCATTGTTACAACTTGTTTGTCTCGGTTTCTTTCCTGATGAATGAAAAACATTTTATCTACTACGCAGTGATTTCAGTCTGAGCTATTAATAATTAAGTTGTATATATATAAGTGTATATATATTATTAAGTGTGGGCGACAACTAATGTTGATGTACACTATCAAATACGCTAAGAATACAAACACTATACTTCTAAGTAAGAAGAATGTCAACGTTTTCTACTCACTTCAGGAGAGAAATTACAACGACTTCTGAAAACACTTATTGTCTTGCTAAATAATAAAATCGAACTCATCGTAGCAGTGAAATTGTGAGGGGTATTTATAAAACCTAAATATATATATATTTCGCTTTGTGAAAGCCAGAAGACACTGAATAAAAATCAGAGGACACCGAATAAAAAAATATATTTATATATATTATATCCTATTCTATCAACGCAGTCAGATTTGTTCAATTGCACGTATTTAATTGCCTAGAAAGTGTGCACTTTATAATAAGATAACCAAATTACTTAAACTGCTATGGGCAAACAAGTAAACAGAGGAAGAGGACAGGAAATACGGATTTCCGACTGTAACATTCTTGATTGTTTGATTTTTGGGTTAAAGGCTAAGCAGTAATTAATAAACACACTCACAGAACCGTGTCTGATTAGTTGATGGCTTGCAATGTTTCAATGTTCAATATATAATTGTTTGAATTGAGATGTGTGCACCTATTATTAATCTGTCGACAGCCAGTTCCGTAATGACTAGTTGTTTTATAATTGCTGCGCTTAATAAACTCTCAGCGGGTGCAAATGTCACTGATTGTTTATTCTGAATATTATTTCTTAATCGCAGACAGAGACTGGAAGTGAGACTGGCAGATAAAGAGCCCAGAGGATAGACTGCCTCCGGCTGTTGCCACGAGCTTGTAGCAAGGTGTCCCCGAGCAGCTGTCAGCGGTGGTCGGGGGCACAATAAATGAAGTAATCAAATAATTTAAATCTGTATTTAAGTGACAATTAAGCTCATTACACTCATTATATGATAAGCGGCCATTGTGAATGCGGGCCGATTACTCGAGTCAACAAAAAACAACAATAGTTGTAATTAATATTAAAATATCTGCATGCATAATGCATACATATGCAAAAGTAAACTTGTATTATGACAATAGCAGCTGACAATCATACAGATTGTTTAATACTGAATGCAAATTGTAAACAACCTTTACTTGGCTTTCAATTTACTTTTTTTACCCTTGTAGTGCAATTAGAAATTTGCCATAATTTTGATGCCAAGGGTTCCTCACATTGTTTTTCATATTATTATTATAAACTTCTAAAAAGCAAGGTTTGCATTTCCTAACTTAGAAAAAATATGTCCAACTTATAAAATCTGTTGGTGTCTATGTGTGTACTTAACATAATTCTTATTTTATTAAGAATAAAATAAGAATATTTTAGATTTTTAGTTACTTATACTATTAAAATAACATTAGCAATTTAAGATTACAAAATGTAATGTAATTTTTATAAGTGCCTTAGTTATATAATAAAATAGTTATATTACGACTTTACTGGGACTTGTTCACGAGTGGACAAATACTTTAACACAGCTGCAAAGAGAGCAAACTTCAATATTCTATTCTCTGAATTTCAGAAAGGAATTTTTTCTAAGAATCTCGGTTTGAATTTCTGTGCAATAATAGAAAATATATTGGCATATTCATTTAGGACACGCCTTTCTAATTATAAGAAAAATGTTGTCTTATGTATGAAGTAAGGGTACTTTTATTTTATTTGCAAAGTTGCAACGCATTGAAGGAGACATCTCTGACCACATAAGGACTCTTGATAAGTATCAGTAAGCATTTCCACATAGCCATGTCTTATATGCGAGTAATCTCTTGGTTTTATTGCAATCTTGATGAAACTTTATATATATCCGCCTGGTTGCTAAAGACTGTACATAGATCGGAGATGATCGGATCGAACTACTATGTCATATAGGTACAATCGGTCGAACTATGAGTTTTAAGGGACATAAGTGTCGACGATCCTGAAAAGGGGTTGTCTTAGGTGGAAATGTGTATATCCTTGTAAACCAGAGTTAACATTCTGTCATCTAATTTTTGTATAATATATATACATATCTAAATATGTATATATCTATATATATACATACGGATGTCGAATATTCAGTTCAAGGCCAGTCAAAATGAAATCATTAGAAAAATGTTTCTTGTAAAACAAAAGGTTTTATGTTTCACATATTTGTGGAAAAAGAAACAATTTGTTACGAGAATATAGAATATACGCACGTGCTTAAGATCTACAAAAACCTGATTATATTTCAACTCTGAACAAAAGTGTGTATCGAGATATTTATTGGTTTCCCAAATCGCTGCAATAAATATTCGGCCATTTTAAAATGAATGCACTCAGATTAATTCGTTTATTATATTCTTTATCTTAATTTTTTTATATTTTAAATTAATTTTAATTTCTTTAAGCTTTAAATTTTAAATTTCATTTAAGGTTTTTATGCATTCGAAACGTTTGAAACACTGTCCTTTTCTAGTTAAAATTAACTCTGCTCTACCAGATAATGCAAGTTTCAGTGTTGTTTAACTATTTACTGTTAAAATTGATTTTAAAACATAATAAAAATTAAACTGTAAAAAGTATTTGTTACTACTTGTTTCCCTTAGCTTTTAAATCGTTTTTATAGTGTGTAAAAAAATAGAGAAAAATAATGTTAATTTTAAAATTTTTAAGCAGAAACATATCAAAAATGGAACTGTATAAAATGCATTTGGGGTATATAAAAAATGGTGCCCAAGTTTAACGACGTATCGCGATATGGTGGAAGATATGTTTTGTTGTTTGTTTGTGCCATAATAAAAAGGCCTTATTACGAGCATTCAATGCAATATATTAATTGCTCCACCTCCAGATACGAAGCATTGCCGTGCCCCACCTTCTGCAAATGATCGGATTTAAAACTGGAATAACGCCCCCAGCCCTCTCTCTTTCACAGCATGTTCCTGGTTACAAGCTACCAGCATTGGGCCAGTTGCCAGATGCCAGTTGCCAGTTCCAGGGGATCTGTGGCATGTCGGTTCGGATTCGCGGCGGCTGCGCCAATGACGCTATTGAACTTTGTGGTGCATGGCCGAATGAGGAGAGGTGCGGTGTAGATTGCGGCGAGATTGTGTCACATTCATTTCCCAATTTACGGTCGACTAATGGCAATAATGAACGAATTTTATAGGACCATCCATAATGTCGCGAGACAATCGAAATACGGCGATAATTACACAAAACGTGCAATTTTTTGTGCGACTTACATTTTGGCCTCAAAACACTATCAATTCATTGAATCACCCAAACGGATATATATTATCAAGGGTCACCTAAATTAAATAGGAAAAGGTCAAATTGCCAAATGAGTCCATAAAACGATTGCATGTTTTTTGAAGAATTCTTTTTAATGGCCCTTTTGGGGCAAACTTCAGAATCGAATTCGAAACCACGGATCTGAGCAGCAGACTCCTCGCCAAGCTAGAATTAAGCATCGGCTCTGATTTCGAACACTGTTTTATGGCCATTTTAATGTGTTTTTAAAGCGCTTAAGCAAGAAATTAGTTCGGAAAGTAAGTGAGTTCGAAGTGCTTATGGCAACCGCTTCACAGACCCGTAAAGTTTGTTGATCGATTCATGCGTAACGCTCGTCGGACGGGATTAAGTCTTTATGTAATTATATTTTATGCTGATTTATATTTGAATAGAAGCCCATAGGGAAAATTTATTTAAAATGCGTCTTGATTTATCCGCTTTGTTATTTGCTTTTGTTATTGCGATGCTAATAATAATGCTAATAAAAATGTGCGCATTTATATATCATATAAATTTGAATACTAACCCTTTAACGTAGTGAAGTGTGTGTTTTTTATAGACCTAATCCGCAAATTTTATGAACTTAATCCGTCAATTTTGTAAAACAAAAGCAGAAGAAAAAAACGAGAAAAGAAATTCTGAAATGAGAAGATTAAAATTACGTTTATTAGTTGTGAGTCTTGATTTACAGTCTAATATAAATGTAAACGATGTATGCTAAAAGAATGTTTGTGACACTCTAAAACAGATTTATAGATTCTTTTTTATAATATAAAAAATTGTTTAATAAATATATAATAAGTCGCTTGCCAGCCGGCGGCATAACATAAAAAATGAACTAGGAAATTTGCTGAAGTTTTGCTAAAATGAAAACATTTGAATTAAAACAGCAATTTGATTTTGGATAATTTTGTTAGGAGAAATTATGCAACATATATTAACAAGCTGTGGCATTTAATGGTGCCACAAATGCCACACCCGATGCTCTCATTGCCAGCCATTGAGTTAAGTCTAAACTATTCGAGTGTCAGGTGTCTCAAACGATAATGTCAAGCAATTTGGGAGTTGATTTTTTTTTATTAATATAATACCCAAAATTCAAGCTGGGCAAAATCAATTTCAGCCTGAATTTTAAAAGAAGCGATCCGAACTTTAAGTTTGGGTTATGAGTGTGAATCGGAATGGAGCCTTTAGCTAATTTTTTCACTCAAAGCATTTCGCTCGAGCAGCTCGAGATTCTCAAGAATGGAGCCAAGCACAGCCGCCAAATTCCATTACACATACGCTTACGTATTCTTGTATATGTATATATGTGTGTGTCTGTGTGTGTGTTCCTATGTACGCTCTGGGCTCGCTGAGCAGGCAAAGTCTCCAAAGACAGGGCCGCTGACCAGCTGCAGTTGCGGCCGCTGTCGACGTTGACGCGAACGTCTCGCTCGCTGTCGACGTAAGCGTTAACGTTGCTGCTGCTGTTGCTGCTGCTGCTGCTGCTGCTCATTCAGTATGTCGCTCTCGCTCCCACCAAAATGGCCGCAGCAGTCACTCTTACCTCGCTCTCTCTTGCACTCAACTGGGAGCAGCATTGCGCTGACTCTCTGCCTCGCTCCCTCTCTCGCTCGCACGCTCGCATTGTTATGGATTTTCGGTGCGGTACGACTAGCTGCTGCTGCTGCTGCCGTTTGCCCGTTGGCGCAACAGGGCGCACTATAGTGGCACGCCAGCTGCCACGCCCACGCCACGCACTGGCCGCCCCACCGGCAGCAGCAGCTCCAGCTTTTGCAGTCGAGAGTCGCGAGGCCGCGGGCCGCTTGCGCCGCTTATCGCCCGTCGCGGTTGCTGCTGCTGCTGCTACTGTTGTTGTTGTTGTTGTTGCACTGTATCTGTTATCAATTCAGCTGCTGCTGCTGCTTCTGCTGGGCACTTAACTCAACGCTCGGCAATTTCCAGTTGATTGGCAGCACTCCTCGAGATTTTCTGATATCGTGTGCCAGAAATTTGCATCCAGCCAACGGCAGGACACAGTTTGCTTATTGCAACTGCAAACTGCCAGAAGCAGCTGCCGTTGCATTTGCCACACGCTACTTGACTCGCATCATTCGCATCCATTTAACCATTCAACCATTCAACCATTCCAGTATATTCATATTCCTCTCACTCTCGGTCTGCAAATCTCCTTTGTCAACATTGAACATGCAGCAACGCATAATTTGATGCTTGCCACAACTGGTTGCCCTTTTGCAGCTAGTGCTTCCTCTGCTGATAATGGCCAGAGACCTTGCATCCTCTCCTCATTGTGTGCTTGTCCTTTTCCTTAGCCAGCCGAGTGTCTCGTCTAACGGCAATGCCACGTTGCAAGCGCAATCATTGTTGAATGCAACAGCAATTGCCAAGAGTCTCTTTCAGCTCGGGCAAGCTCAGCTCTGCTCTCCCCTTTGCCTCGACTCGGTGGTTGTCCTTCGTTTAAATTGCAGTTTTTTATGGCATTGCAATTAGGGGTAAGCTCTTCAAGGTACACACACACACACACACACACACACACAAACACACTGAGTAGGTAACGTTCTCACTTACACAGTTGCATTTGTGTGTGTAAACTGTAAGGGTGCAAATGCTTAGCTAAGGGTAGTTCATTATCTGTGCACGCAGGTGAGGGGTTGACACCAATACCAGTGCACAAATACAAATGCATATTCACACACACACATTGAGAATTATCTCGTCTAAATGTCATTGCGGAGATTCTACAGTTAAATTTCAACTGGAAACTCGATTTGTTTGGAATATAACAATTTTCTTTGTTCAATTTAAGTCGAATGAAAATGAAGACCGCTTAAGTCAATGGAAATTTTAAATACGAAAATATTCATCTATCTATATCTATATTTTTCAATGTTATTGTTTTATGTATTTTAGATGCTAACTATTTTTATTATTGGGGGGATTTAGTTACATCTATTGTATCCCTTCTGAGCCCTACAGTTCTTCCATTATCCCTAATTTCCGCGAGAATCCTTGTCGGGTTGAGGGTTTCTTATTCCTGTATACAAAATATGCTTTGCGGATTCTTTTTCATTATCTCAATATCGGCCGAGTTCGTTTCTGACTATACCTAGTTTAGTTAGTCTAAAATGTCCTGTAAACAGGCCGATAATTATTCCAAGTCTTTTCTTCCCTATGGCTATTAAATCGTTTTTGCTTATAGCCACCTAGAAGGCAATTGGCTTGTCTACGTATTTTTTCGTTCTTTAAATAATAAACAACTGATCAAAAAAATCATGGTCTCTCTTCAGAGTGATATAAAAAAGTCACACTTATTGTTGTAAGAAAGTATTGTATAAAAAACACAGGTATAAAAAAATAATCATAAAAGAAATGTATGCAACATTTTTTTAATAATTTTGAGTCCTTTTCGGGTTCGAGTTTTCGCAGTCCCGTTGCTCCAAGTCAAAATTCAGCTGACCAGCCATTCCCATTATAATCAGTCAGTTGCATGTGTATATTATTAATAAATATAAATGTTGTTCCATTTAATATAAATAAATAAAAACTAACCCACAATAAGTGACAATAAAAAACAACATTTAAATAAACTGCATTTAAGTCAACGCTGTTTGACAACTCCAGTTTACCTGCCAGTTAACATTTTATTGAAATAAATAAATAAAGCTTTTAATTTCAGACTTGCTTTCTTTATAAAAATAATAAAAAAAAAAACAAAACAAAAGCAAAAAACAAACAGCACTTCAACTTTTTAATAAAAGCCGAGTGCAAAATTTATTATCAACAAACGATTTATTAAATTAGAAAAACACACAGTAAAATGCTTGACGCAGCCAACGGTAAATGGGTCCAAGTTCTGACCGGATCCCGGGTGGATGCCACTGAGGAGGGGCAGGGGCAAGAGTAGGGGCAGGGGCAGGGGCAGGGGACGAGATGCGGTTGTGGATGGGTTGGTTGGGCGTTGGTTGGTCCATTGTCGACGTATTTGCGCATTGTGCGGAAAAGTCGTAAAAATTTCTGCTGTCTACGTACGATGTGAATGGGAAAACTGGATTTTGTGGAAAAGCAGCCGTTCGCCTGTTCAGCCGTTCAGCGGATGAGAGTGCAAACGAAATGCCAGCAAACAATTCTTGTAAATTTTACGAGCGCAAATATAATTCAAATGGCCATTAATTGCAACAAAAACTACAACAATAAGCACAGTTAATGGGGTCGGGGGAGGGATGGGGCAAGCAAGGGAACTAAACTTAAAATGGGTCGCAGACAGCCCTTAAAGTGCCTCATAAATGAATTGAAGACGACGACAATGGGCACAAAACAAGCTCACCAACAACAGCAACAACAACAGCAACAACAATATAGCAACAACATTATTATAAGCAACGTGGGCGTTGGGTTGGGTTATGTACAGAAAAAAAGACAAAGCTAAAAGCTCGCGAGAAAAAGCACAAAAACAACGGAGCAAAACAAAGTCAAAGCAATAACAATTTGAGTGCAGAGCACGTGGTGAGGGAAATTTTGGTAGCCGTTGCCGGCTGCACACACACACTCACACACACGCACACAACTAGTCGAAAAATTTCCCAATTTCGAATTTGCAATGCAAGTAAAGTACGGCGCTAACTGTAAACGTTCGCTAGTGTGTAAAGCGAGCCAAAAAAAAATATATATCAGCCGTGGGACATTTGCTGAGTCGCTGCGCGCATGGATAGCACAGATACTCACACACACACACACACACACACGCACATACAGAGCTAGTGTAGTGGCACACAGATACACACAGATACTCGGCCTGTGGCTATGGGGCGATATCTGTGAGATACGCACAGATACACATACAGATACAGATACACGGCACGTCGCTGCCGCTGTTGTCGGCGTCGTCGCCGGCAGAGGCAGCGACTAAGCGGCGCACAAGAAATTGTCGGGCGACGGCTTCAAATGAACGCAAAACGTTGAAAAGCAAACATCCGCCAAAAAAATAAACGTCCCAAAAATTGCGGCATCTAAAAATAAACTTCAAGTACTCACTATTTGCCACAGCTGTAAATGTAACTGTTGATAACGAGATCAAGTTTTAAATGTGTATTTTTCAATTGATAAGTTCCCAAAAAACAATTCCTAAAAATGTGCTTTTCGTGTCAAAATTTTGTGTGATATATTTTTAAGTTTCTGCTTGTTTTTGTTTACCGTTTAACACGCTCTAAGGGGAAACAGAAAAAAAACGGGTTACAGTTGTATTTGTATTTGCATGTGTGCGAGCGGGAGGGCAGCAGTGTGTGTGTGAGTGTGTGTGTGTGTATGTAAGTGTGAGCGTCATATGTAAACTTGTTCTGTGAATGGCTTTGATAGGAGTATTTATTAAGGCGCTTAAGCTGAATATAAATTTAAACATTCTGATATCTGATTTGTGATTTGTGACAAATAATAACTGATTATTGACTATCAAACATTCATTCGCATTTCATACTCCTTTATAGATGACCAAACGTGGCCCAAACGCTTATTAAAACGTCTCCCATAAACACCAAATAACAAATTTCTGCTCGTTTTCATTTCCCGTTTTCCATTTTTCGCTTCAGTTTCAGTTTTTTTTTTCGAATTCGAATGCGAATGCGAATGCGTTGCATGTCAA